TGCTGGTATAAACATAGACATGCATGTGTCATTGTAATATGTTTTTAACTCGGGAAGGTGCTTAGAAGGGGACTAGCTGGGTTGGATGGATTTTTTTCTTTTTAAAGGCATCTGTATGCTGATTTCCATAGTGGTTGTACTAGTTTACATTCCCATCAACAATGTAGACTGTTTCCTCCCCACACCTACTACAACCTCATCAGCAGTTGTTATTTGATTTCTTGATGGTAGCCTTTCTTGGAGTAGGATGGAGTCTCAGTTTTAATTTGCATTTCTCTAACGGCCCAAGATGTTGAACAGTTTTGTAACATTTATTAGCAATTTATACTTCTGAGAAGTGTATTCATTTCAGTTGCCTGTTTACTGATTGGATCTTTTATTTGGGGGAGGGGCCTAATTTCTTTGTGAATTCTTTATATCTTCTACCTGTTAGTCCTCTGAGGAGTACCTGGCAAAATTTTTCCCATTCTGTAGGTTGTCTTTTTATTCTGTTGGATGTTTGCTTTGCTGTGCAGGGCTTTTTGATTTGATACAATCCTGTTAGTGGATTATTGATATTTCTTGGTATAATTGGGGTTCTGTTCAGAAAGTGTTTGCCTATGCCAATGACTTCAAGAGTTTTACCGATTTTATTTACTAACAGGTTCAGTTTTTTGTTTTAACAGATCTTTTTCCATTTTGACTTTCATTTTGCACATGGTGAGAAATATGGGACTAGATTCAATCTTCTGCAAGTAAAGAGCCAGTTTTGCTAAGCACCATTTGTTAAAGAGGCGATCTTTTCTCCAGCATACAATTTTGGTCCCTTTATCAAAGATCAGGTAGCTGAAGGAGTCTGGAATTATTTCTGCATCCTGTATTCTGTTCCATTGATCCACATGTCTATTTTTATACCAGTACCATGGTGTTTTTATCACTGTAGCTTTGTAATATAACTTGAAATCTGAGGTTGTGATACCTTCTGCTTTGCTCTTGCCTAGGATTGCTTTTGCTGTTCTGGGTCTCTTCTGGTTCCATGTGAAATTTTTTAAAATTTTTTCTATTTTTTGGTTTTTTTTTTTCCCAGTACTGGGGATCAAACTCACAGCCTTGTGCTTGCTGGGCAGGCGCTGTGCCGCTGAGCTAAATTCCCAGCCCTGTGAAATTTTTTTTAAGAGAAAACAAAATAACAGCAAAGATAAAAACAAAACAACACAAAACAATACAGAATTTCAAAACAAGTTAGGAAATTAACAATGGTTATATTACATATTGTTATCTTCAGCGAAGTTGCACAGATTACCAGATTTACAATGTAAGATTGATTAAACAATGAGAATAAAAAATAAACATTACAAACAATACAGAGTTTCACTAATCAAGATGGTAGGAATTCAACAATGCTTGTTACATTGCATATCATTGTCTTCAAATTAGTTCAGATTACCAGATACAGGCATGCAAAATTGGTAAAAAAAAAAATATAAACATTAACTGTTCCTTTCAATAAACCAATAGACATTAGAAGTACAATTATCCCAGCTATCCTTGTATATCCATATATATTTTCCCTTTCTTTTCTCCTTTCTTTCACCCCAGTTGTTTCTTCCCTTTGAGTGATTTCTTTCCCTTTCACAATACCAGTTGTACCTTTAGGGTTTTACTTACTCTTTCAGGCCCTTACACTAGGGGACAAAACGATGTTTTACGTATGCCAGACGATTTATTTCACTTATGAGTATAGTTGCACCCATTTACCTACAAAAGCCCCAAGTTTATCTTTTTTATAGCTGAATAATACTCCATTGTATAAAAATACCACATCTTTTTTATCCATTCCTCAGTCAATGGGCATTTGGGTTGTTTCCAAGATGTAGCTGTTACAGATTGTGCTGCCATAAACATGTGTGCACATATATCGCTGTGGTATGAT